CAGTTCGCGTTTGAAGCTGTTTGCGCGTCTCTTGGAGCCAGGCTGTTCGTCCCTCTAAAAGGGCCGGTTCTGACGGCGTGACGTGCTCATGGCCACGGGTGCTGCTGACTGTGTCGCACTTGTCGTAGTCTCAGCTGGTTTTCGTTTCGTTCCTACCTTCCCCCTAACTCTTTTCTAGCTCGTGTCAAGCCAATCTCACTTTCTCTCTCCTTCTGCTGGTAGCAGTCTCCTGTCTCATGTCTTTGTTGCTCAGCTCTGTCCGGGGCCTTATTCTGCTTTTTGGTTTGATGGTTCTCTCTACCGTTTGTAGCAAAACCCGTAGCATTGATCTTTGAAATGATCCTTTTGTGACATTGCTGGCTAACTATCCCCGCAGCCTTTTTGCGCTATGGTAGCGTGGCTTTAAATATTGATGTCACTTAGCCTTCTCTAACTGCCTGTTACATCACTGCGAGGGAAAGGTGTAGTCACATTTCTCTTCTGTAATACTTGATTCTGCAGCCCTTGCTATCTGTGTAGTTCTACTAAAGCCATGAAGCAGTCTCATTTCCATCTTAAGTCAGTGGATTCACTCATGTGAGCGAAGGCTGCAAGGTTGTGCTCTGGTTACGTAACTTGCCGCCTTAAGATATAATTTAATCTCATGTCTTAAAGCCTTTCCTACTATGGTCTACCCTGCTCCTCTAGATGCAGAGGAGTTGTAGAACTGGTGTGGGCTTTAAGGGAGTAAAATGAAAGCATGCAGATGTTTCAGAAGTTGTTTCGTCAATGTTTTTGCTGTTTCTGGGGAGTGAAAATGGTAGAGGTGCCATTGGAAACACAAACTGGGGCTAGTCTGTCTTGTTTGGTCATGGTTGTTGTAACTTTTATTTCCTTTGCCCCCGTTGTTCGAGCTCTCTCTTCCCCCAAGCTTTGCCGAGAAGAAAGCCACCCTATTGTGGTCTGACTAACATGTCCTTTTATATATTTGCTAACTGAATATAGAGTTGGCGTGTAAGAAAAGTCAAATTAAATATTGGGAGCATGGAGCAATATTGCTTCTCTCACTAACTTTTTCCTCAATATTTGCAGGTTCATGCAGGTGAAGTTTCGTTGTGTCCGGACCCAAAAATACAGTAAGAAAAGAAAGCAGCAGCCTGACTTGTGTCCAGCTTATTTTGTTTTGCAGTATAGTGAGGACATAGACCGACTTGTGATCAGTGAACTGAACAGCAATCGTGTTCATGTAGACCCAGGGTCTTCTGTGACCAGAACCACAGCTAAGACTGCAAGCACTACAGCACATGAGAGCCCTGCAATAAAGCTGCATAAGCAACAGGCAGGTGAGACAGAAAGCTGTGATGTGCTGAATGAATAAGGACTCATATGTGGTAGCTGAAAAACTTTTGGACAGGGCACCTGCTCTGTTCAACCAGATTCCTGTGCTCCCTGAGGCAGCAAAGGAAAATGACTCAGCTTCAGCACTAGCCAGAGTTGCTGAAGTCATGAAAAACTTGCTGAGAGCGGACATGGGCTCATTGGCCTCAATAAGCGTAGGCAGCAACCAAGCCCTAGGTAGACTAAGTTTTCAGAGTAGTAAGATGAAGAGCTTATTTATCAAGTTTCCCGAGACCCTTCTGCTGCACAGGGTGCAGAGTGAGAGAGGACATGTTCTCTGTTTTCTTAGTAGAGAGTAAAGAGCGAGTGGGGAAGGTAGTGCATTTGTCAGTCCTGAAGGGTGACACAAGACAGAATGTCAGCAAAATGCTGACAGTCTTTAAGGAGTTCAATCCTGAGTGCCAAAAGGTTAAGGTTGTCTTTGTGGACTTGTCCTTCCTTCACAAAGCTGTCCTCCAAGAGCTCCTTCCCTCTGCCCAAGTGCTCCTTTCTGTCTACCACACTGTCTGACTTCTTGAGAAGAATGTAGAAGCAGCAGAAGTGTCATCTTCCTTCAAGCAAAACTTGAAGCTGGCCTTGAAGAATGTAATATTTTTTCTACTTTGACAGCAAATCTAGATACCTTGTCTCAACTAGTGAAGTGCTTGGTTAATCAGGAGTTTTATGACTACCTTCAAGCCAACTGGTTCTCCTGTGAGATGCTGTGGTATATGCATGCAAAAAAAGGACTGCATTCATGCAGCACACATGGACAGCCTAGATCTCATCACTCAAAATATCTAGTCTCTTCAGCCAGCAGCTGTCCTTGGAGACGAGCATTCTTCATTTTTTTGCATATGTGGACTGCTTTGATGCCAAAGGTTTGGAAAGCTTGAAGCAGAGTTTCTTAAGCATTGAGGAGGACAGTCAGAGCAGCCTCGAAGAGAAACCTAAAGTGCACAGTTGTGCTGCAGCCAAACAAGCTCCTCTTGATAGTTCACAGACCCTCCTCAAATATCCTGAGCCGCTCATGCAGGTTGCTATAGAGAAACCTGCAAAGACAACACGCTCCATGCTGGCTGCTGGCTGGGAGACTTGTACAGACTTGGCCTACCAGCTGTGTAAGAATGAGTGGGAAGTAGTGCAGAAGTCAACCCAGCTCATCAGTGTCGTGCAGGATAATATTGTAGTTCAGGTGCTAGAAGACCCACACCAGGTGGGCAAAGACTACAAGAGCTGCAGTTGTTACTTTCATTGCCGATACCAGCTCCCTTGCAGGCATATTCTCTGTGCTGCATGCTAACAAGAAAAGGGTAGAAGAAAGTATAGTATGTAAGTGTTGGCAGAAGAAGTACCAGCACCTCTCAGTTCTCGGAGAGAACCTCTTAGACCGTCCTGGACATCACACAGGTATCCAGACAGAAGCAGAGGGAAGATGTGACAAAATCCAGTCCCTCAGCAAGGAGCTTGCCAGCCTCCTTGATGCAGTGTGATGGGGAAGAGCTAGAGGAGCGAAGCTCCACACTCAGAATGATTGTGGATATCTGGGCTAAGTCACCTGAACCCTTGGGAGAGGCTGAGAAAGACCTGACCTTTAGAAATGTGGGGGATCTTCCCTTTCTCTGGGTAAAGCAGGAGGAAGTGGAGATTGCAAATGCAGATTCTGATGAATTAACAATAAATGTAGACAGGCTTCTGCCATGAAATGCTGGATCTCCTGGAGCTGCTTGGTCAGTGCAAGATGTTAGTGCAAGCTGGTGGGTTGTCCTTCTCCTGGCTTCTTTAGCTTCTCCCCTGTCAACGCCCAGTCACTCGGGTCATTGCGTGCTTTAAAACAGTTGCTGTGAGTAGGGAGCAAAGCTGCTGCCCGCTTGGGCGGCGGCGGGCGGCGCGGACCCGCAGCCCCGTTACCGCCCCGGTCCCGTCCCT